AAACTTCTTTCATGTTCTACTCTGTGAAAGCCTTATTTCTTAATCATTGCATGTTCTAAGCACACAACCTGAATTAATCCTTTTCCTCTTTTTGTTATGTAATGACGTGGGTAGATCGGATGGTGAACAATTGCAATTACCATGAAAAAGGCAGCTGAGGGTTGCACTAAATGTTTAATCCTTATTGCTAAAATAGATTGAAAAACAGGTGAGGAGAAGGGGAAGTATAGGACTCAGAAGTGTCCTTTATGTGAGGAGCCTCTTAAACTGTTATTCATCTGCCTAATCTGCAGATTGTGAGACGGTGTCTCTGTCCATTGTGAGATGGTGGACATTTTACTACTTAAACCTGTAAGAATGTTTAGTTATACAAATAAAATATATTTAGAACTCACTAAAGTGATTGGAACCTTGGATTAGCACAATGTTGTTTAAAATGAACGTTGGTATGATTCTGGCAATTATAGGGAATTTGATACTGCCTAGTTTTCATGCTATAAAAAGGGTTGTAGTAGTTTCCTTACCTCTAAAAAAGCAAGAAAAATATTCGCAATATTTTTCACTTATATCTGTGAAGTAGGAGAGACAGATGTGTAATCTGAAAATGTGAAGTGGATCTAAAGAGACTCACCTCAGCATTACCTCGTCCCCCCTACAATGCTAACAAAGATTTTCATAAACTCAGTTCATTTCCTAGGTCCCCCAGTATATTCCAGTTATTTCTGTTGGTTTCTCAATGAGTATTCTCTTTGGACTTGTCCTCATTAGACTTTAAATACCTTGTTGGATGATGTTGGCTACCATCTGCTGCCTTAAGTACCAGAACAGAGGGCAGTGTGTTGCCATGCATTAAGATTGTTGACTTCAAGGTTAGGCAGTTCCTCTAATCTCACATTTCATACCTGATTTGCACAGAGATGGTAACACATGCACAGTGATTGCCTGTAGTTTTCCACCAGTATTCTAGAGCAGTAACATGTTAACTTCTAAATTGGCTGGGATCTTAGAACTGTAACCTTAAGTAACTTGGAGAACTGTAAAGTAATAATTAATAGTAAATCAGTAATTGGAATTGGTGCCTAATATATTTTACATGAAGTATTACGTTCAGAGGGGAAACTAGCTGCTTCCTATGCCTCATGCTTTAAGAAAGTTTCTAATGAATAGCAGATTAAACTAAGCCACAAATTCAGTACATTTGTGATTGTACGGCCAGGCTTTTTTTCCAAACCTGGTCTCTGCTTTGATGAAAACTATCCTGAGTCTATGTCTGTGCCTCTGTGAATTCACAGTATGCTGTGAATACTTGCTAAGAGGCATGCAGCTTAAGGACTCCTACTACTTGTATCAGTGCAGCCATCCTAAGAACTGGATAATAAAAAATTGTCAACTAACATATCTGTCCTCTGTGGTCTGAACACTGAAAATGGAGTTTTAGCTTAACAAACAAGGTCTTGCAGCAAGAGGTGGAAATAAGTAATGCAATGCTGCAACTATGCTCACAGAAGTGAAACTTCAGCAAACCATTATCTACTTCTTCCATAAAGCTGAAACTTCATATGCACAACATGCCTTCATGTGGTATAAAGATAGCAAGTGTGTATTCTTTCTGTGTGCCCTTCACTGAAAAGCCACAGAACTATAAAACATGGCAGTGAGTTCCCCAATCATTATCACAAGATCTTACCTACCTAGAAAATGAACACAAAAGCCCAAACTGTGGGAACTGAAGAAGTAGAACAACAATGTTTATGGAACACTGTGGCCTTCATTTACTCTTCATCTTTTGTCACCTAGAGTTTTCTCAATTGAGCACAATATCAAGACTGGATTTAACTTCTAGAAACAGTGAATGCACCTTTTTGCCTTTCCATTCCCACTGCTGCTGTAAGCACTGGTCTTTCCTTACAAAATTAAAAATGTCCATTATCTAGAAGTAATGCAGATGTGCAGAAAACCAGGGTTGGTACCGGAAAACCATAGCTGAAATTCTGTGGAAGATCAATAAAATTAATATGAAGTTTGATTCCTGAGTAGTACGCAAATCTGGATATGAATTGACTGTGAAGGTCTTGGCTCCTAAGTAGCTTTGAAAGTAGTCAGGGAGGCTGATGTTTGTCGAGTAATTGTTGAATGTTATGCATTCAGTAGGCAGCTATTTTATGGAGGAAGTTTTAAATTACATTTTATGATAACAAGTTGTTAAAGGTTTATGGAAACAGCATGGCTAATTTTATACACATTATTTGGAGAGCATCATCATGGAAGCAATGAATGAACATAATTTCCTTTTCCAAGGGAAATTGTTGCTGCAGTAGAGATAAGACATTACAATTATAATGACAAGCAATTGAGATGATTTGAAGAGAATGTATTCAAAGTTAAATATTTCTGAAGTTTCTGTACTTTATGTATGTGAACTGTGGAAGTACTTCCTGAGCTTGCCTTTTCTCCATAATTAGAAGCAGGTTACATTGCTTCTGGTTGATAAGCCATTAGTTATTAGTACGGTGCTAAATTTGCCCTTGTACCAAATGACCCAAAGGGGAAAAGCTGTCTGTTTGATTGCGATAATAATAGCTTTTAACAATTGGATCTACTTAGCTGGATGTTAACTGATACACTTACAACCTTCTGAAAAAAGAGTTTGTGAACGTTTCACAAGACTGCAGGGAGCTGCAGGTAAAAATTAGAAGACATCTGGTGAATTAAGGGTTATGAACTGCCAAGTTCTATTGAAGGAAAACTACATTTCAAAAAAGGTCTCAGTCAGTGCCGAACATTAAAAAGAACTATGCAAAGTTTAATTGTGGATAGTGCTGTGAACCATCTCTTTATCATAGGTGGTCTGAAAAAATTAAGATCTTTTATAAATGAGAAGTTGGAGTTCACTCCTTGGGGCTGAACAGTGGAGAGGTATCTGGAGGGTGTACATGGTTATGATATCAATAATTTAGAAACTTGATGGAAAGAAGTTTCTGTGTCCAATAATCTTTCAAGAAAAACAAATGACTGATGCACTGAAATTTGGCAACTGGGATATCCCCAACCTTGTGTGAGGTGATAAAACACTTTAAGTAGACAGCTATTTGCAATTTCACTTAAGCGGAACAGTATTTTTAACCCAAGATACACAGATTTCTGGTCCTTTTCCCTCCCCTGCAACCTTTCTATCTTATTTAACTGCAATCAGTTTTGACCTGTCCCACTCCAGGTACAAGAAAACTTAATCCCCGTTAACTGCTGGTCTGTATATTTGTCAGGAGGGATACGCACTTAGCTATGGAAACATAGATGGCTAACACACTCTTTCCTGAGAGAAAAACAGCTTCTGAATGTATCTGGTTGACTAGGATCAAGTATAATTCCCAGAGTCTTTCTTAGGCATGAGTATTACATATTGCAAGAAAAAAATTACAAGGGAACTTAAAGTAAACAATTGCATTACATATGTCTGTAATTCTAAGTAGTATGAGCCACAGCTGTTGCAATAGTAACACAAGAAATTACATGGAGAGGGAGTATTTTTCACCTGTGTATCACATGGGAATACTTAAGTCTTCATGGATAATATTTTCTGTGTACTTTCTGATGTGAAGTAAAACACAAAACTTTACAAAATTGAATTAGATGTCCATTACAGCACATCTGGTGCTATGCTCACAATATATATAGTATGATCAAAATACCATAGTTCAGAAAGTTTATCACCCCTTCTGTACTAACTTTATAATTTACAATGACTGTTTCCAAACTTCCATTTCTTCATATTAAATCAGGCTGCTAGCTTTTCTAAACAGGCTTAATAATACTACATATTTTAAATCTGTCTCTGGTTAGTTGAGTATGGTGTCATTTGTTCCTATTTACATGTCTAAAATTTCTCAGTCTCAGCGCTAGGTTCCCAAAGAAGGCAAAAGCAATGCTATGCACAGGAGTTGCAACAGAGTAAGGAAGGGTATGTTCCCACCTTAGTACACCTTAGACTCTGCCACAGCAACTTCCCCACTGTTTAAGTCCCTGAAAGTGGTTACTTGCAGTTGTTACAGGAGACATGTGTAATAAATACTGTGTCATGTGCTACATGTCTGGTGTGTTCATAGACTGAAAATATGACAATTTGGTTTGCAAATTACTATTACTATAACTAGTGATTAAATCAGTGTTGGAAACTGCTAGGCCAATGCTTTTTTACGTACTCAGTCTGCCTGAGAACATGAGGACTATGATGGGTTGTAAAAAAATCTGCAAATGATAGTGTACAAAGCAATGCTAGTCATATCTTTCCTGTGGTGTGTGTACAGTTATATACAATTTCTAGCAGTGATCTTACTATTAGTTTCTCCAGAAAAAAAAAAGAATGGCCAGATACTGGCTAAAGCATTTAGAAAAGAATTGCCCCCTGGCCATGCTTCTCTAAGTATGTTTTTCCAGACTATTGATCCATACTTTTACCTATTTTGAGAAATCATATTTTTATTTTTGGTGGAATACTTTCAGTGGAGTACTGCTCCACTGGAGCTGGTAGCAAAATTCTCACTGGCTTCAGTGAAATCAGCATTTAAGTGTAAGCCACACACTAGAGCTCTTACTTGCTTCCCTAGAACTACAATTCAACGTTTGAAAACAAGCCTACCTGAAGGCCCCCTGCTAATTCTATGGAAGGGTGATTTCCACTGTAAGTGAAAAAACAAGCTTACAAGCTCTTAAGCTCCAGTATCTTGTTTTATACCAAACAGTCCTATTTTGGTGTAGTCAAGAATCATGGTATGCACACATTTATAGCGTTTAGGATCTTTAATTGGCATTTCTAAAAATAATTTTATTTGAAGTTATTCTTTAAAATGATTTGGTAAAAATATTTTATTCTAACTATACAGTTCTAATGTGATCTTCATTTCTGTGTTTGCTCTTGTTACTGATGATGTTCATTAGCATTTGGAGATTTGCTGGTAAGTCTGTAAATTGTACTGTTCTTCACTTCTGCATCAGCAGTAGGCTCACTGCACCTTCTTAAAGACCTGCTTACACTTGACTCCACACACTCTTATTTCCTAGGAAGAGAAAATAATTAAAAATTACAACTTTTACATAGTACACATGCATTATACATTCATGTGTATGTCCAGCTTAATTTGAATCCAAAATTTTCTATTGAATTAGATTGGGTAGCTTGTACATATTTTAGCCTATTTTTAATCCTAAAAGAAACCAGCTGGTTTGGGTTTGTTTTCTGATGAAAGGTAGAGTAAGAGAAGTTATTCGGGCATCTCAGATCTTAAAGGGCCAAATATGTTCCCGGTGCATTATTCTCTATTTGCAGTGTCTGCAACTGCTTAGGTCATTGAAATGGGCATTCTCTATTTTGGACACATAAAGTAAGTTATTTGGGGATTGATATGAATAACCAGTTCTGAATCTGTATGTTGATGACTGGTAGTTCAAACCTACAAAACCAGTGGGCTGAAAGCCCACTCTAGCAACACAATGTTCATGGCTAGAAAAGGACAGGTAGCTGTGTTCAGAGGATTTGATCTAGGTCTATAAAGCACAGCACAGTGGTGAGTTTTGACTGAACTTGACCATACTGGATGCCTAATGCCACTGGATGCCCTACTGTTCCTTTGTGTTCCATAAGAGCTTTTCAGAAATCCCTACTTGCTAGTCATTGGATCATTGTGAACTGTGCATAAGCAGGTGCAATGATGTTTACATCTTGGGCACTGATTTGTGAGGCCTACTGTTTATCTAATCTCACTGAAGATACAGTTTAATCTTCTCCATTATTGAAACTATTTAAGTTAGGCTTGAGAAGTGCACACTATGTGTGGGGATGTGCGGAGTTGTTGACTGGTTTTGGTGGAAGAAGAAAAAGGGGTGGAATTTCTAAAGGGACATAAAGACAAAGGTTATGTATGACGTAGCAGAAGGGATGTACTTTCTATTTCAAGGTAAGACTTCTAATGAAGCTGTCAGAGTATTTTGAGGAAAGAGGAGGCAGAGTTTTCTGGGAAGTTATGCACATTTTCTTATGGGGGACTTTGATACGAGGACATATTAAAAAACCTTACACTGAGTCGATAACCTTATTGGCATATGTTGCTAGTCCCTAGTAAGAGCAAGTGCTTCATGATGAATTGATGAAACAAGCAGACTGATACAATGATTTTAGTTAGGACCTGTTTTGTTCACTTCTATATAAGTAACCCGGAAGAAGGAGTGTGGAATAAGGGCTAAGAGATCTGCTGACAGTGACAAAAACCTCCAGAGCAGAAGCAATCAATACAATAGAAAAGGGCAATAAAATTCAAAAGGAAATGGAGAATGGTCAAATAAGTCAGTCACATAAAATAGAATCTAAGGAGGAAAAAGAACTACAAAGCATGGACCATAGAACGAAATGGAGAAAATAGGAGGCAATAAACTACTAAACCATGTGGCACTACTCTCTACAGAACTGTGGAAAGAATTAAATGAATACTTGGGTCATTGTGTAAAGTTCAAGAGGAACATAAACCTATCAAAGTATCAATTTTTTAGAGGTAACTGCCCATTGCATCAAAGGACTCTCAAGAGTACAGGACCTAGTAATCTTAGCTGGTCAAAAAAAAAATAGTAAATGGGACTCTTTTACTGTATGTTTAATGGAAAGAACTACATTAACAAGGATTCAGAGAAATAAAGAGGACATCTTTTGAACTTCATGAAATATAAAAAGTGATAAAATTGAAATATTGGGGACTGGCCTCTAAAATACTTGGTTACTGCCTTTGCATGAAGTGATTTTGTACTGACTGTTGTGTACATGAGAGGCAGGTTGTGATAAATTGTACAAGTGCCAATGAGTGTGTGGGTGCCTGCATGAGCTGGCAGGTATGATACAGAACTTTTCACAGTCTTCTGAAAAAGCAGCCTCAGATCAGTCAGGTTACCTTTGGGTGCCTCAAGTGGCACTAGACACATATGTTTGAGCACATGAATCTGAATTTATGACTTCTAAAATCAAACTTTTGAGAGTGTCAAGTATAGAAAGTGGTGTGGCCTGGAGGTCCATGGCGCGGTTGTATGGCTAAAGCATGAATCATAATAAGGATAGCAGAAACTGGGACTACAGAAATTGGTGTTGGGGACAGGAAATGGGAAGAGATAACAACTGCGGAGCTGGCAAAGGACAGAAACCAGGATACCAATACAGAGAAATCCAAGAGCAACTAGTGCTATTGCTTCAGGTATGTGCAGATGAGGGCACATATGTGTATGATTGAGTGCAGCAAGGTGTAAATTGAACTTCTAGGCCAGACACTGTATGGCTAATTGCAACCTGTTTACCAGCAGACAAACTGAAAGCGCTGATGCTTGGTATTGTGGCACCAACTGTTGTGAAGCTGGGAGGTAGCGGGGAAATACTGCAGTGTGTTTGTGTATAGATAGAGGGAATATGTATACACAGGAAATTTTGGACTTTCTTTTTTATTGCTTCTCCCCTACTTTCAGCAAGCCCATGACCTCAGCTATAAAATGATCACTTACACAGTAACTTTGTCCCTACCTGCATTCTATCAAGTATATTGTCCAGATGGTAAGATCTATCATATACATTCCTTTCCCAAACTGGTTTCTGGGACTTCCAGTATTCCCTGAAAATTGTGTTTAGTAATAAGGGGTTTGGGGTATTTTTGCAAAGATTTCATAAGTCTGCTACTGATTTGAATATGTAGAGGACATCCATTTAGAGTGCTGAATGCTAATAGTCTTTTACCCATATTGATGAGAGAGTGAGGATGCTATAAAGAGCTATGTGAGAAAAGAATAGGCATCTTCTTTCAGGTCCTGTTAACTTAGAAAGATAAAAATGATGATCTGAAAGAACACGACATTTCAAAAACGTAATTGCTGTTTTAGTTCTCTAGGCTATAATGCAGTCTGGCCTGTAATTATTTTAAATGAACAATGGTGTATTTTCCCCTTACGGCTTATTGTTGGATGCATGATTTCACCAGCTCCCATACTGAGTATTTCACTGACTGTATGAAGGACATTCTGTCAAATGTCTTCCTCAGTGTAAACATTTCAAACTGGTATGTTTGGACAGTCAGTTAACATAGAAAGAGTGCTGCTTTGCAATCAGGCAGTCTTTGTAAGGCACATAAAAGCATAATGCCTCCAAATGAAATAGTTGCTTTAGAAACAAGTCAAATGTCGCACAAATACATAATTATGTCAAAGTAAGCCAAGATAACATAGCACAGCCTGATGCATTACAGCTAACCATTTTAATAGAGTGGCATTTAAAAGCTGTTACATGATCTTACCAGGTGCATTTCATCTCCTTCAATCCATTGGGTCCAGCCACGACCTTCTTTTTCTCCATTCTGTACACAAAGAAGCTTATCTCCATCCCAAGATACGGTGGTCTAACAAAACAGACATGTTCGGTGTTACTGTAGTATTCTCTGATATTATAATTAGTTTCCTTAAAGCAAAACTTCTCTCTAATATAATAAATGATTAATGTATCTCGTAAGAGGAATAATTGTAGAGTGTTGTAACACTTAGGATAATTACAAAAGAAATGAGCTTATACAGAAAGTTGCTGCCCAACTTCCAAGGTCAAAAACTGGAAGGATGAGATAAAGCTGTTTAAATGCAAGAAAAAATATAATAAAAATCATTGTGCAAGAGCGCAGTCCTCTCTCCTTGCTGACAAATACAGCAGCAGAAGGGATGTGCAGCCTAAGACTGTATTTGCAAAAGGAGCTGAAAACTTGAGTTTTTTCCACCGTAAGAGGGATTCCCCAGCTTGCTCTACCTGAAAAAAGTACCCACCTACTGGCAGCTATAGATGAACAAGGCCTTTAAATCCTGAGCTGTTTTTTCCCCATGTCTTAATCTGCCTTCCGTCATCAAGCAGAATGGTTTGGAAGTATCAGCAAATGGGTAACTTTGCCAGCATCCTGCCTTGTGTAACTGTAGCTCGAGAACTACTTGAGTCAGGACTGGCAGAGTAAGAGTGAGAGTAAGGTGTTGCAGGATTCAACATTTTGTGAATATTGGTGCTGTCTTGAGTAGTTCAGTAGAACTTGATTCATAAAACTACTTAAATATATGAGGGTGTGTGCTACAACTTGTTACACTGGTTAGTCTTTACTGACAATTTGCCTTTCACATCTCCTTAAGATAAAGAGAAGCAATACTCGGTAAAATATTTAAAGAGGGAAGGGGAAAAGCAGTGACAATTTGTGCTCCATGAGGATAGTTTAACATCAATATTAGCACATGACTTAAACCAGCTTGTTTGAAGTGAATCTGAGGACTAAATATGGAATTACTGTCTACCTTGTAAAAGTCTTCAACCACTGCTTGTATAAGTAGTCAAGTATACAGGCTGCCCAGGGGGGCTGTGGAGTCTCCTTCTTTGGAGATATTCAAAACCCCTTTGACCTGTGCAACCTGCTCTAGGTGAACCTGCTTTAGCAGGGGGGTTGGACTAGATGATCTCCAGAGGTCCCTTCCAACCCCTGCCATTCTGTGATTCTGTGATTAAAGGAAAACTTACTGCATCCATCCTGTGTAGTTTCTAAGAAAAGAAGTCAGCCTACAAAAACTAAAATCAGTTCAACATTCAAGAACTATGCAGCCTTATTTATTTCATTTGTGTATGTCACATACAATTCTTAAATGATAACCATGATAGCCACTATCTTTAAATGTGTACAGCCAGCAGTCTCCACCCCTGGGAAGCTTTAGACTAAACAAGCATGGAAAATGAATCACTAAAAAGAGTGCCAGCATAATCATAGGCAAAGCATTGTTATTGACCCCATATAGTGTCTTTGCACCACATGGGGGCTCTGAAAGACAAATTCATATAACCTTGCTAAAAATCTTTCCAAATTGGAAAATGCATTTACAAATTCTTCTGTTCACTCTTGTAAAATGATGTACTTAAACCAAGTAGTAGATAATATATTTAAAAAGCCATATATGAATACGTATTCATAAAATGCTAGTGCAGGAAGGAACAACACATTTGGGTAAAGCTGTAGTTAATGTGGCCATCATAGTTTAAATCCTCTTCCATACCTGTTTTGAATCTGTAGATGTCCAGTTGAAGACAGAAGATAGCAAGTAATACTAGTCAAAGTGAAAAATGTTTAATTTATAAGTTAACATATCTAAGAATTTCTGATGATCTAAAAAATTAATATATCAGAAAATGAACATTCTTTCTACCAATGACTTGTAGATGTGGGGGATACTGTGGAATGAAGCATTAGTATATACAACTTTGCTTAGTAACTGCACTTATTTTTATCCATTGAGTATTAGCTCAGCATGGTTTAATCATTAGAGTAGCTTAATAGTTAAATTTTGTGGGATTGTATGTGAATTCAAAGGATATATATAATGATAAAGTAAGATCCAAATTTATTAGTACTACTAATGTTCAAAGTCAGTTGTGGAAGTTATTAGTCTTTATAATATTCACTAGCTTAGTACACTTTGGGGCAAAAAAAAAAAAAAAGAAATTTTGTAGCAGTGTAAGGAAATAGTAACTTCTTCAGCTTCCAAGGGTGATTGAAATCATTTCATCTGAGAAAACAATGCACTTTTTTCTCTGGCTTTCTTATTTTTCCAGTAAAGATTAGATACTGCTTTTGGCAATTTGGTGATAACCACAAGAGGATAATACCACAGACTGTTAACCAAGCTGTTTTATCAGCCAACATTCTGTTATCATCCTCTGCCTTCCCTTTGAGAAATATGAATACTGAAGGCATACGAGTAAACCATACAGTTTCTGATTTTTGTATGTGGCTATTTTGCTATGAAGGTTATAAAGGACAGAATATATTGCAGGAGAACATAATGTCCTCTTCTTTGTTAGCAGGAACAACCACTTTATGACATTAAGATTAATCAGTTGCATTTTTATCTTTTCTTTCTTTAGGTCAAACTGTAATGTCTCGTATAATAAAAGACACAACTAATACAGAAGATAGAAGCTTCTATTTTAACGCAGATTGAAATAAGTTCTTCCATTCCAACTATCTCTATTGAGAAACATGAAGCGTGTTAGTTGAGGCTGGAGTTGCTACGGCTGTTATATATGCACTGGCTGCTGCTAATAGACCACCCTTTACCAACAGCTAAGACACATAGAACATTTCCAAATATTTGAGTCAGAACATAATAATATTCCAAAAATATCACTGTAGGGCAAATTTTGGTAAATATAATCTCTTTTGTTCTATCTAAGAGCAAAGATTTATTTTTCACGATTGGATCGGGATATCGCCATTGTATAATTAGGATTCAAGCACTTGAGTAGACTAGTAAGGCAGTTCTGTATGAAACTTTAGTTGCGGTTTTTTCCTCTCCCAGCACACACTTACTATCAAAATAAAGAAATGCTTCACCTTTTACATAAAGGAACTTTTCTTAGAGAAGTAGGCTTTTATAATTAACGTTGTTTGCCACCATTTTGATAATAGCATTACCTAAGGTTTGCCTGATTACAGGGACTGAGCTACTGTCTCCTATCTGGAAAGACAGGAGAAAATCTTTGCCAGGGCTTGGTGAGCACAGCATCCCCGGGCAGACTGTTCCTATTCTTCATCTTCCTCTACAAGCAAGAGGAGAAGTAGACGAACTTTGAGAACAATGGAAAGCTGCAGTTTCCTGATGGTAACAGGACCAACTAAATGAAAATGTAGTATTTCTCCAAAAACTGAAGGCTCCTGCCTCTTTGAGCATCTTGTACTACTTGTAGGATAAATGGAAGACTTATTTATTAGTTTCAACTAGGTAGTACACAGTCTAGTTCATCATAAGCAAGCTTAAGTTTAGCTTACTTACTACCTGATCATACTTAAACCTAAGATGAATAAGCCTTAGGTCAAATGTATATAATTCTGTAGGAAACTTGAATAGAAAATAGTGATTAATGAGATTAGTTGATAGCGTGATTAAAAAAACTGAAGGAGCTCAAGAAAAGTTAATGGCATGAAATAAATAAGAGCAAGTCTTGCCTCAGTTTAACTTTTCTCAAAAATTCTAACCACCAATATTGCACGTATTTTGGATTATATACTCTTTGTTCTTGAGGTGTAATAATAGAGAACGGAGTTCCTCTGGCAGATGAATAAGCCTTTGAAGCCTGAGAACAAAAAATGTTCAAATTTTCTGTAGTTTTATGATATGATTTCTATAGTCTTACACTTTTTTTTTGTATAATTAGATATTTTCCTTTTATTACTTGGCCATTCACATACTTTTGTTAGTGATTTAATCTCTTTGTGTTACGAAGATTTAAATACATGTGCATAGCAACACCATCTTCCTGAAAATTGAAGCTAGAAGAAATGATAATTAAAGTATTTTCATTACTGTTTTCACTTATGAGACAAGGTAGATTTATTAAATATTTAGTAAAACCAAAACAAATCTATTGACTATGTATTTGCATTTTCTCTACTAGCAGTAACATTACTGAAGTCTTGCAGAATTACAATAGATATTACTTCTAGTGGCAAGTCGTATTGACCCACAGCCAGAGATAGTGATTTTTGTAATTTACTGAAATAGTCACCAAACCATTTTGTCAGAGAATTTTGCATTTCCCAGTGAGGTCTAGGTGCAAAAACATTTGATGCTGGCTCTGCACAATGTTTCTCATTCCCACGTTGGCTATTCCTAGTGTGCTTGCTTGTGTCATGTGCTCTGCAGTTGAAGATACATAATGTATTTTACAGGTGAATGAAAGAACTTTTTTTTAAAAACTAGTCCATGAACATCTTTTGTTAGTGCTACATAGATTTTCAACACATTGCATTTACAAATATGAATCACAGCCACCACCTTTCATCAAAAATACACTACTGACTTCCCATCTGTAGGAGAAACACAGCAGTACCACTTCTACTTTTCTTCTACTTCCCTTCAGAGTGTTGTCTCTGTATTATGGCACAGCAAATGTCTGCCATGCTCTAAACCAGCACGACACACTCCATCCTGCATCTCAATCCAGTAATTCTCTGCTTATGAGAATGACCAGACATTTTACAACTGTAATTATGATTTAAGAAGGATTAAAGAATGGAAAGTAATTGTTTAGGTCAGATGACACAGCAAAATCCAATTTGAGCTGTGTCCTGTATAGTGTTTACAAATAACATCAAAGAAAATATCCTACAATTTTTGGTCAAACATGGTAATATATCTAATAAGATATTTAACATCTTCTCAATATAAAGCATTTTCATCTGCACTAAGTATCAAAATGATATAAAAACCTCTGGTAAGCAGTCTGCAGGGGAAATTTTCATCAAATGAAGTGCTGATGGAATAAACTAATGTTGGTATCACACACAAAATCTAATGAAACTGTGAACGGGCACTCTGTAATGTTGTA